GATCGTCAGTAAGGAGATGGTCTCTAAATCAAAGCACTTTCAGTTCACATTGAAAGGAATACTATTAACAAGGATCAAACGCAAAAACATGATCAGAACATTTTCAGAAACATTCAGTGAGCTCTTAGATCATCAACATTATACAGGTATTTCTTCTAAAAACAATCTATGGTAAATTGCCTTAGATTGTATTTTGTGAAAGTACTGACTACTCTCGTGGAAAAATGCATGTTTTCATTTTATTTCATATATTTTGTATTTTGTGTATGAATGATGCAAAATTCAAACAATCCAACTTCTTTTTTTACCTAATGTCTACCCACAAAGAAGACGAAAGACTTGATGCATGGCTGATATCGTCAACGAAATGGATTTAAGTCTTTTGTCAACTCTGTTTGTTGCTATGGTAGGCAGCCAGTGAAAACAATTTTGTGGAAATGCAAGAACTACTTTAAACAAACAGACACAGAACTTTGTTAATCCTGGCTCATTTTTCCTGATTGAGCCTGGGTGTCACATGAAAGGGCAGAAAACAAACTTTCTAGAAAAGGGATTTAAACTTTGAAATTCAGATGATTCGAAAGACTTTTTGGCACCCTCTCTTCAAATTGTTTTTAATCACTCATGCATGAAATATGCATCATATGAGTTGCATCAAATGAAAGAGAAGGATCTAAGCTTTAAAACTATATGTCATTTATTAATTATAATTGTGATTAAGTTATGATAAAACATCGATAATTCTTGGTTTCGTTTTTTCTGGGACGCACTGTATAATGGATCGATCTTGAATGCTCAGTCTTCTGATCTGCTTTCTTCTTAGTTACCCCAATGGACCTAACACATTCATCAAAAGTCCATTTGTGTTAGGTCAATGGTCACCCCAACCTTTATTTTTGAACAAGCGGTATAGATAATCACATAGATTATGTTGGAAGTAGTGCATGAGAACTTGTCATTAATGTACCATATGAGCTTATAGGCCCATTGAGATGAGTAGCATCACTGACATGGGCACATGCAGGTGGCACATCTTCTAGCCCCTCTTGCATTTTGAAGTGTCAATCCGGTATCTATTATCTGGGGCATCTGGTGTCAACCTGAACAGACAAGGAGATGTCTTAAACTTGGGTCTTTCTTGTATGCTACCAGCGGCAGCCTTGCTTGAAGAGTTCTAGAGTTGATGCATCTTGTTGAAGGATACAAGTGTTGTCGACCAATATGGCAGATTCAAATTTAGCAGTAGCTGGATAGTATGTAAGAACTAGTGGAACACGATCTGATCGCTGCTTAGTTTGGGGTTGCAAAGCCTGCTGTCGACTTATGGAAGAAACTTTATTAGCTGCTTGTCTGATCACCTGATCTTGGTATATAGCCTCTTTGGCAGAAGAAACCAGCCATTTCCTTTGATCGTTTTTGAAAGTCTTCATCACTGTACAGGCAGCAAGGTCGGTTTGCAGGCTAGGTGGATGTGATTGTGTAGAAGAGAAGTTCAGAAAGCAATGGGCATCAGTATACTTGTAGTGCACGCTTGTGATTATCAGGGCACCGTTAATCTTCCAGCCTCCATTCGTTGCATCTCTGATATTACTTTGTTTAGATCAAAATTAAAAACCTACCTAATGGAAAATGCATATTCAACCTATAGTTCTTAAATTGTTACCTTACCTTGTTATCTTATGTTTCATAATTTCACTTTAAATTTGTTCTCTTGTCATTACTCTGTTTAATTTTACTTGTATCAATATTGTAAAGCGCTTTGATATAAATGTCTTATGAAAAGCGCTATATAAGTAAAAGTTATTATTATTATTATTATATTAATCTAGAGATTGTTCATAGATATATGTTGGGAAACTAAGACAGAGAAGGATGCTTACAGCCGTATGGTCTCAATGTCACTTTCCACTCATTTTCCCTTTCTTGACTTTTTTCTACATCTTGGCTTTGTCTCTCTCTCTCTCTCTCTCTCTCTCTCTCTCTGCCCTGTCATATATGTTTTCTTCCTCCTTTACTGATGTGATTATTCACGTCCTCTCTCCTATATACTTTCCTTCTGTGTCTTTCTTTGGTTTTTTATGATGTATTTTTATACCTCTTGCTGCCTTCTTTTTTCTCTGAGACATAATTCTTTGTGTCTTCTCTCCTTGTGCCTTATTAGCACATTTTACTGGGATACGATGCGCATATATTGATGCATACAAAATTTCAAAGTCAAATAATTAACATCCTTAATTGACAAAGCTCTATTTAAAGGGAGAAAATTTGGGAAACAATATATTTGGGTAAGGATCGAGAATCATATTATTTCTTGTATTTTTGTGTATTTTCTCGACCTCTATAAATTATATATATATTTATAAATGTATATCTATTATCTATAACCTGTCTGGTATATATCATGGCTTTCCAAGATGAACTTGAAAGCAATGCCAATAGAGACTACAAAGCAAGACTAGCACACAGCTGGTAGAACTTGTCCTTGACCACTATACACTGTATCATACAGGGGATGATGACAGATGCTGTAAATATATACCCCTGCTCACATAGAAGCCAACATCTTGGCTTGAACTCTGCCTACTTATCATGGGACTTTGGTGCTATTTCAGGAATGCTGGCAATTTCTTATCTAAAAATGACTAACAAGCTTTCTGCCCTACAGATATTTTTGTTATATCTGTTTTTATATAACAAGTCATTTTCAATCACTGAGGTGATTGTTCCGCTCCGCCATCCCTATCATGCAAGGGGAATGAAAACAAAGTAGAGAGAAATGCCTCTGGACTATTTTAGACATGACAAGATTACAATTACAACCCAGTAATACAAATTATGGAGTATATTGTACAAATAACAGATATTTGGACTTATAATTAGGTTTAGAGCAATTGAGTTCTGACCTAGCTGGCCTCATGCATCCATAAAACACATTTGTTGTTAAAGGTATTATAAAGTTTTGGTATGGGGTCATGAATTTGGTTCAAATTAACATATTGGCAGCATATGCGTTCCTACAATATTTATTGATTGTTGTCCCGGTTGAAATCGAGTTTAAAGTTATGAAATTATAAATAATAAACTCTTTATGTTGTATAGCTCCCTCTCAAGGTCAAGATATCAATTTAGCAATGAAACAATGTTTCTTGACTAAAATCAACCAATTAGCTATTCCCGTTTGGAAATTATATGTCACAACTACATATTCTGAGATTTTCATAGTCGCAGCTACCATTGTACAGCCGTAGGCGTTATTTGAAATTTATCGAAATTTACCGGGAGAACCAGTAAATTTTTATATTCAATTTTTCTCGAAAACAGAAGTGTTTTAGGGGTTAATTCTTGTAGTGTTTATAAAACATCCACAGGGGCATCTAAATATATCAAAATTGTAAAGATTCACTATCCACCCAATTTTCAAAATTTCCCAAAACTTTAATATTAATCTATTTGTCATATCTGCTAATATGCAATGATGACATAAAAACACTGCTTTCTCATAGACCTGTGTAAGATTTAGTTGGTATTAGTGTTAATACATGAATGTGAAAATTATCTTCCTAGCCTGTGTTTAAAGACCTCTTTGAAAAAGCTCTCTTTTCAAACAGAGGCTGCTCCAAGGCACCTTCAATCCATAAAACTCACTTTCTATGCACAGGGTCTGAACTGTATGGACTAGAGAACATGTTTCTCACATCACTGAGCTAAAGCCTAGATCACTTGCAAGCTATACCAATCTGTTGACAACTTTCCTCCAGCTATAGCATAACACTCACCGTCAACACACCACTCACCATCTGGTTGTAGTTACAAAATAAAATTGTGTACCATCTGAATAAAGACTACACAAAAATAGAACAGCAAGGTTAGGGGGATGAAATGCTGGGGATTGGATGAAGTACAGAATGCATCTTGCACGGTACATGGTGAATTATGTGCATTTCATAAACCATTTTTTTCAGCCAATTAAAAGCTATACCGTTCGTCCGTTGTGAAGAAAAAAAAAACATTTGCCAGTATTGTTCTGAAATTTAAAACTGCATATGACACTGTTTAATTAAGCTCAGTTGAAAGCTAAGGTATGGTGCAGTGTGTGAACTCGTATAATTGTAGTCCAACACCTTTACACCCTGAATCAAAGAATTTGGAGAGATATTTACCCAAAATATTGTAACCCAAATTAATATAACCGTGGTCAAGCCTTAATCAAGTCACAAAACAACTGGAGTCTGCTATAGAGACTACTCATAACATACCACATAGCAAGTACTGACTGCTAAGGAAGCGTAAATGCTTGTTAGTAGGCAACCAGAGGACCGACGGCTTAATAGGTCCTCTCCAAGGGACCTGGTAATGAGGATAAATGAATCTGATTCTGCACCCTGTGAAATTATTTATATATACATGTGTGAAATTTTGTTTCGGATTAACAATTTTTGCTCAGTCTTCCTGATGCTCCCTACTCTGTTTTAATAGTTTCTCCTTTAAAGGTTTCTCCTTCCCTGTTCCCTATCTGCATACTGTGCTCTTGCATTATATATGGGTTTTTTTTATTCAATATTGTGTCAGCTGGGCATGTGTGTGTATATATTGAACTTTAGAGGACGAAATGATGTGGCCTATTTACTGTATGATGCATCTCATGTAGCAAATTTCCTTTCCCTTTATAGAGCTAGATGTTTAAGGTATGAATCAGAGCTGATTCCAAAAATACTATAATTTTGTTTCCAATTTTCACTGTAAATCAACGTTATGACAATTTCAAACTTTAATCAGTGGTCACAGGGGAGTGATAGTGTGTCACAATACAAGTTTGTCACCCTGAGTCTCACAGAGTGAAAGTATGAACATGGTGTCAAAACATTAAATGGTCACCTTTAGTTTGACACTATATTCTTTTTGGTAAGGGGAAGAGTAATACATACAACAATCCATAGTAAAGACTTATCACTATACAGCAGAAAAATCCTCTGAGCTCAATGAACCTCCTGTATTCTTACCTGTTTCTCAACCTCCTTCATGATTCTCTGAATGTCCTCTGGCAGTGTCTCTCGCTCTGGTATAGGGAAGCGACTAACTGGCTTGGACTCTGGTGTAGGAGATTCGTAGAGCTTGGATGAGGTACCCTGGAAACGTGCCAAGCATCTTTCCAAGGAATTCTACAGCAGGAAGGAGCAAAGTGAACAACAAAAATAAACCTGTTGTAATCAATATTACTGAAAATGGATGAAGTATATTGGCTACAAGGTTTCCAACTTATTAAGAGTGAATTGACCAAGCTGATCAATGATAGAATTTGGTAAAACAAATTCACTGCTACTTCAAATGTGAAGTTTAAAAAATAAAGTTAGGGCCTCTTGCTTTTCGCAAAGAGACCAATGAATAAAGTCTTAAACTCTGAACATTTCATGTTCATTGACCTCTGTGACACTTGACCTTTGACCTACTTATCCCAAAGTGTTATCTTTTCATCTCACTATGGTGATGCATGTTTACACCAAGCAGTTCATGAGATATCACAGTCACAGGGCTAAAACCCTGAAATTTATTGAAATTTACTGTACTTCCTTTGATATTTCAACTACATACCCAAAATGTAATCAGCTTGTCTTCCTATATTTATGGTAATACATACTTGCACAAGTTTTGAAGTTCATACCTCAGGTGGTTCTCAACATATCGCAATAAATGAAGCTAAAACCTGTTATTTTGTAAATTGACCTCTATGACCTTTGACCTTTGAACTACTTACACCAATATCTGATCAGATCGTCTTTGTATGGTGATCATTCTATCACTGCTAATTTTGCAGTTCATCAAGTGGTTCTTGAGATATCGAGATAAATGTATCAAGATAATGAGAAAGCAGGACCAAAAACTTAATGCCTCTGGCACAACCTTCAGTGGTATTTGGTAAAAATATTACAGGAATTACTTTACTGAATAGCTGTATAACTGGCTGTTTCAAGGCAAATATGATAGAAATGACAATAATCATACAACCATTATGAATACCACAGAGCTACTAAAGTGCAATATTCATGGTAAACCAATATGACAATGTACCTTTTGAGCTCCTTTATGATGGAAGACGTTAGTTCCAAATATTGGTTGGATGAAGGCAAAAGAGTGCATTACCCAATTTACAGAGACAATGGTATCTATCTCGCAAAATGGCAGATTGAATAGAAAAAAGGCCTTCACAATTAATTATACCACAAGGTATTTTGTTATTGTGCGTTTTTTAGTACGTGACTCTTTAAGTAAGAAACTATGCACTTGACATAAACTACAAGGTAATAACATCCAAATATCCACTGAACTATGTGAAACACAGAGCCGAGGAATTCTTTTGGAAAAGATGCATCCTTATAAATTGCATGGTTGCAAACAAATAAACAATAATCCACACCAAAGTGAAGCATGAACAATGCCATGCGTTGAAGGCCATTTCTTTCTTCCTTTCTCATTCATCATATTTCCCCTCAGGGACAAATACCAATCAAACAGGTAAAACAGTAATGCTGGTTTGTTTGGCAGTTGGTTTGTATCCTAGCTCTCAATGGCAACCACTTATCAATTCATCAACCATTATCAAACAACATTTCTGGAGTAAGCCTAAAACTCCAGGAATATAAAGTGGAGATGTTGATGAAAGAAAGGATTCAATCATGTTCCCAGGGATAACAGCCCAGGCTGATGTATGAAGTAATAATAATACTAGAGAGCTGTCACAAATTAGGAAATTTGTAACAAAAGGGGTTTATTGGACTTTTCCTAGAGGGTGCTGGTGAATGTGTCCTTAAACTCTTGTGCCCATTTATATTTGTCCAGTGAAGCAAGGCCCTGATCCGGGCTTCGTGCCTGACCTTCACACGTTGGGTTCATTACACATCTTTTAATCGTCCACCACAAAGATGATGGCAGGGAGCTTCTTTTGAGTTCCCTAAAGTACACCTGAAGGTTATTCTACTCACACCTCCATTTCCCATAATACTTATATTTGTTCTTTCATGAAAAGTACAACTTGTCACGAAATGAGTTCAGTACTAGTCATTAGATGCTACTACACCAAAATGTAGAATGCATTGTATGCCTTAAAAATTTCAGATATCAAATTTTTGCTTAGGATGAAACCCAACATATATTTCAAAGTGGCATATATCTTAAAATCGAAATAATTCCATTTCTTTTACCTTGTACGTCTGTATTGTTATATCTATTCATCAACTTAATAATGACTGAATTAGAGGCCCAGAGCTAAATTACATATTAAAGTTATAGGTTGCGACAAAATTATTCAATGTTTAACTGGCAATATTGGTAATCAATTTCTTCCAAAGTTATATTATAGTATTAATGACTGCTTTGAGAGAAATAGTTGTTTTTATACGCTCAAGGGAAGGTTAGAATTGTGCTATTGCCCGAGGCATGCCGAGGGCAATAGCCCAATTGTAACCTTCCCGAGAGCGTATAAAAACAACTATTTCTTGAATATTAAAGCAGTCATTAATACTTGTATATGCCGAAAACAAAAAAGTCAACTAATGACACCACCTTGGCCTTTCTCTAGTTTATCTGCACAGTTGTTTTTTTATGAGTGTATCTTTGAGAGTAGACTAGATCTAGATTCTAGTCTAAGCAAGATATTTTTACAATTTGGGGGGTGGGCCGGCCCTGTGGGTAATATGGAGAAGAACCTGCGCTTTCATATGACACCTCACTTATTGAGTATCACCTTCAGGATCACAACAGATAAAGGTTTGAATCTTGAATTGAAAAAAAAAAAATTGACTTTTTTTGCATGGTTGCGCAATGCACGTAGACTGCATAGCGACTGCATTGCGTGCAAACTCTATGAGAAGAATTTTAACACACAACATCGGTTGCGCGATCAGACACCCTGACAACTAGATATATTTTCGTCTAGAGTCTACATCTATGCTTTTTCAGCAACTAAACGAACATGTTTATGGATAATTTCATGTACCCTTTTTGTTGTTCTTGCTGTCAGCGAGTCTTGCATTTGATAAGTTGAAATCTTGGGAGAGTTTCTTGAGCCATTTTTGTCTTGTTTGGAATTGTCTTGTCTTGTATGAAAATACCGACCAATTCTTCGCACACGTACGGTATCCTCGATCGCTCAAACCATTTTTTAACATGTAAACCTATGGGGTAACCATGGAGACTGAACTATTTTCCCGGTAACCATGGTTACTGGGACTTTAGAACTGTTTTAACCATGGTTACTGGGAATTTTACAGAAATAGTTAAAGTTTATGAATGCAATTTCGACCAATCAGATGGCTGGATTTCTTAAGTGAGGTATATATTCCTTGTTATATAAGGCCCTAAACTTTGGCAAACGTACTATTCCCTCTGATATCAAAGCTTGCCCTACACTTGATTCATATAAAATTCCTGAATAAATGTATTAATCATAAGCTGTGGATTATCACTCTTGTATTAAATATTCACAATTTTCTATTGTTTCTTCTTTCTTACTTTTACCTTTTAATGTATTAAAAATGATATTTTATCTTAAAATAGAGCTAGGCTATGACAGGACTTTGCTTGCTCCTCCATGCTAAATCTAATTCATTCTACCCCGCTTATTGTTTATGTTGTATTTTGCACAAGTATGCATTTATGTGTATGTGTTTATAATAACTTCTTTTTATATAATTATGTATGTTTATATTACTGTTATCAATTCAATTCAATTCAAGGTTTATTGAAAAATATCTTTGCAGCCATGAAGCTGAATTGTGATACAGTTCACAGATAAAAACATGCAAAAATTACAAATAAGACATATCAATTACAATGAACATAGTTTTGCATAAATTAAAAATAAAATATAAAATATATAAACAAAAAACCAAAGAGTTCAAATGAGAGTTTTAGACAAATGGGTTGTTGAAATTACATTAGGAGTTTAGCAATTACTCAAAACCATTTTAAACATCTAAGGACAAGACAAGAAATTGCAAAAGATTATATTGCAAATTTAAAAACTTATCTTTGGAGTGGTAAAAGACAGGTTTGTTCATTATCTTTTTATGGGTGGAAATAAACTTGAACTTCATTGTGTGCCATACATCATATGTCAATAGGGGGGAACTGAAATACAATATTAACCATTGATAAGTGAGCTGCAGAAAAAATGTAAATGTAGATCAAATATAAATGCTTAAACTGATATGTTGATACAACATATATCTTTATAATTTCTCCTATACATTAAACGCTGGAACACTTCCTCTTCACTTGCGCTTTCAAGAACCATCTATATCGAAAACATGTCACAATCTTCTTCAAATTAAAATCAGCTAATTGTTAAATAAAATCCATTTTATCTACCAGGTAGTCTTAATAAAATCAATGAAATATCCTACCACAAATAACAAATATTGAGCTTACATCAAAAGGGAGTTCTTAAAGTGTTACATTGGTAAACTTCTATCTTGCTACAATTTTGTACAACTTTGTACAACTTTGCACCAGTAAGTGATGACTGTGTGTGATAAAATTATTTTATTCCTTGTTGACATCCAACAAAGACGTGTAGGCATGGCCTACTTAGAATAGTAGTTGCGTCAATTCTGACAGCCTTGGCATAACTGGGACAGGCCAGCAGTCATTGAATCAGGAGAATTAGAAGAATAGAATAATCTGGTAAGCTTGACTGAATTTAGATGCCGCTGATTACATTGTTATAACAAAACTCCAAATCAAACTAATTGATCACGATCTCTACACAATTCAGCAGGTCTAGAGGCCACTTCCATGAATATGGTATATAATTTTATTTTTCTCCATGAATTCATGAATTAAATTAATCATTCTAAATTTGGAGACATGATGTGCCAGCACAAATCAAGAAAGCAAGAAAATTTGACGAAGTGCAAAAAATAAATAGGCCTATTCAAACTCCTTATTCCTTGTGAAATAGCTTGAACACCACAACTGTGAAAGAGATTACTTGTATTTTCAGCACTACCTTAATATAACCTGTGTGCCTAAAATAAAAGCTAGAACATTTCTGTGTCTTTCTCATTCAACCAGAGAATTATAAGCTGTGTGATCAAATACGTACTGCCTTAATACATTTAGCTTCACTACCATTGCTTTTGCACCTATATAGGATTCTTAGAAGGATTCAGCACAGCCATAGTTTCAGTGAACCACTTTCCTTTAACGACATACAGACCAATGTATGATTTTTTACCGATTCCCAATCATTCAACATCTTATGAAGACTGAAAGCTTCAGTCTGATATCAACGGTTGTTCCGCTGAAACATCGTCTGGCTCCAATTTGGATCATGTTTGTTCGTCCTGATTGTTATGTCGGGTGTTTTTTAATATGAACTGAACTGAACTATGAAACCTCTATTTTTCGACAAAATTCGAGTAAGAAAAGAAACAGAAATGAGGATAGATTCTCTTTTCGTTGTATATGTTTGTTATTTACAAAGGAGCAAAAGCCAGTAAAGCCACGCAATTTATCGTGAAAAGTTTTTCATAAAAGAACAACAAAGAAACAGATATAAGCTGGAATGTCTTGCGATTTAAATATAATCCAAAGAGAAACGAATAATCCGTAAGCCTACCTGACTTGAAGCCTTTTGCGATTGAGGAGAGAGGACCCTTCTTATCGCGAGAGCTGGCCGTGAGCGGGTGAACAGACGACAGACAGATAACGCCATTATTGTTCTCAGTCTAAAAGTTCGTAGATGGGAATATTATATTTCACAAAAATTCAAATACCAGCTCTTAATACTGAAAACGAAAATAAGAACAAGTTCTTGATTTTCCCGCTAGCAAGCTAGACGTGAGCTCTCGTAATGTTCCAAAAACTACGTCGCATCGCCAGCTGACCTGGGCTTTTATTCGAGCGAACGTGCAGTACCAAATTCATGAAAGGGCTAGGGGCACACGCTTCATCGCACTTAATCTGTCGCGATACTCTTGATCGAATGAAGCGACACAGATCGCGATGATGAGGATTGGTTGCTTCGCGTGCTCCAACTCCAAGGAAGAGTTTTTTTCTATACCGGTGGCGTGTTGTGTTGTTGGGTGGGGGAGGGGGGTAGGATCATTCACGCTGGATGACGTTGGAGCGGATATCTGCATCTTTCATTTATGAAAATTCTTCTTCATAATTTTTTCATTTAAACAAAATGGATACAAATTTTCGGTGAAACAGGATATGATTGGAAGTTGTATTCATGGGTAATAACCTAGTATGAGGTAGGCCTAACTTTGATACAACTTGTGTCACTATTACACTATTACTTTCTGTTCTAATTAATAGAGTTTTTAGTGTTTTCCCCTCATTTTTGAGACCCAAGAAACAAATTGTTGATGAATTACAAAATATATAGGAAAGGAAACATATTTATTGACAAAGTGCTTTGATTTCATTCAAAAATGGGATCTGTGGAGGATATCGACCTGCATTATGCACATTGCATGTTTGCACATGCTCCAGACAGCAGCGTATCATGAATATTAGGTGCATGGAAGAGATGTGAAAAACAAATTACTTTATCTTTTATCTTATCTTATCTTTTATGAAAATTTAACGACTTATGTGGGCTGGAATCCCCTTCCCCTGGAAGCATACCTTGAAAGACAGGCTCTGAGACACAGTCCATAGGAGCAATGCAAACAGGGTCCCTCCATGTGATTGCAAAGTGATATGGCTGAAAATATATTGAATATATTACATATTCACTTTGAATGATTAACGTCCTTATTGGTCAACAAATTAGCAGGACCCCAAACAGAACAGAAAGACGTTCAAAAGAAATAATACCTCCTCTCAATTGTTTGAAATTAGGGGCAAGTGTTAGCGAGGCTATGATGAATTTATTGTTTCTGGGGACTGTAGATGAGGGGCGATAACAGCATTTGGTCATAATATATAGCTGTTTAAATTTTTTATCATTTGGTTATGTAAATTCAGTTTCCTTGAGTTTGAAAACTCTACATTGTCGAAACATTTTAATTCTTGAACAAGGGCAATTTATTACCTTGGCCTAGAGAAGGGACGTTTGATAGCTCTGAAAAAGGAACATGTTTATATTTCTAAAAGGAGCACACTTCGTTCTTATGAAATTTGGGGCACTGTCACTGTGCCTCCTGCCCCGCTCCAGACTCCACTGTCTTCCATCGTAGTGGTAGAAAAAAGAGTCGTGAGTTTACACGTACAAACCTGCTCCAAATCTTTGATACTAGGCACATTAGATGATTCGCAAATGGGCACAATTCATTAGTTACATTTCGTTAACAGGGATAAAAATGGGGGCAATTATATCAAAAGTAACGAGGAGAACTTATCATTATTTGCACACACCCTATTTTTTTTTTTAAGGGGAAGGGGAGTGGCACTTAATTGGAAGGGAAACGGGCACTTGATGGGCCGAGAAAAGTAATTAGATAGGAAAAGGGGCAATTATTAGAAAGAAAATGGACACTCATCTGAATTTAATAGGGTCTTCTGGGGTATTTAAAAAGTGGATAGGGGCACTGGGCACGGGAGCGATTCTGACTACTAAAAGTCTGCTTCACTTACCTTTTTTTTCTTTCTTTCTCTCTCTCTCTCTCTCTTTTTCACTTGTTTTTCTTTCTCTCTTTTCGCCCTCTCTCCTCGCCCTGTTCCTCTCCTTCTATGCTAAAAAAACAAAAAACATATCCAACCCGTGTTACATCTTATCACTATATTGTTTATTTCATCAGAGGGCGTCCTTGTAGGCTATCGCTTATCGCTTAGTGTCCCTTTATCAGTACGACACTGTGCTATCGCTAAAAAAAGCTGGATACACCTTTGACCTCTTAGAAAATTATATATCTAACACAATCAAGCTTGTTTAATATAAAAACAGCGAGTATGAAAGGTAGACGAATAGTCTTTTTCACACTGAGTAAGTCCTAGACAGGATTAATGCCAAAATTAAAATACCGTGGAGAAAGTTCAACTTAAATGGCAACATTTTGTAAATCTGTCAACGCATAAAAATAATGTTGTTGTTTTTAACAGACAAAATTCAAACTTCTCATATCATCAAACCCGAGAAAGACAAGACAATGGACATATGCCTTTCCCTAAATTCAGTAGGCCTATAGGAAATGTAATCTCATGACTATATATCATTTTTAAGGAACTCTACACTTCGTATTGATTTCCACCTTATCAACCCGACTCAATAATATAAAGAATCTCAAATTCAAAATGATCTGAAATGGAATCTACACATTGCAGAAATTGTTGCTAAAGCATCGCGTAGCTTGTACACGCTATATCAAAGGCAAGTTTGGCTGATCTGGTGGCTGTCTACACAACTTATATAAGACCCATTCTCGAATATGCTACCCCTATTTGTTACACTTCTATTACTATCAACGAGACTAATAAATAGGAATTTGTTCAAAAGCGGCGGCACTCAAAATAATTGTAGGATATAATGTTGATTATACGAATGCCGGGACGAATGCCCTTAATCTGCCATAACCAAACTTACTTCCCCATCTTCGAGAAGGGATTCACTTTTTAGAAGTTCAGAATCGAACTTTGATCACCACAAACACCTTCATGTTCTGCCCATGCACTCCCAAGTCCATGCGGGTGTCGATCCCGGGGGGGGGGGGGTGGGGGTATATATCTCCACATATTTCAGGTGGGGGTGGCCTGTACAATCACCCCCCCCCCAATAATTAACCATAAAAAAAAAATGAAGTGAAAAATGAATGATGAGAGCCCGATGTGAGTAGTTAATGGTTATTACTCGCAAGATGACCATCAATATACACATTTTGCTATGACTTATAAGATAGTTCACTAGTTGTTATGTTGTTTCCGTTTTGTTTTGTTTTTTCACTCATTTTATTTCCTGATATTTCCTAAAATATTTTTCAAAACGTGCTAAAAATTACAGTCGTGTATTTGTTTAACTCTTTTAATTTGGGCATTATTGCCAAGAAAAAATTATCACCAATTCCTCAATATAAAGAACTCTTAAAGGTCTTTTTGCCAGTTCAATCTGAAGTGATTTTTAAAGCTATGTGGGGTTGATGATGCGTCTTTTTCTTTATAATGCAAGTAAAGCAATAAAATATATTCAATATCATTGAAGAGAAAGACGGTTTTGCCCAAATGGCAGCATGTAGGAGACGAAACTTTCAGTTTGTTCCCGGCCTGATTCATACTCGGTATCTATTTTGTTTTATTGATTTCATCAATTTCTTTGTTTATTTGTATCTCTACATGTAAAACATTTGAAGAGCTATTTTCCGAAAGGAGCAAAATCTATTGGTAGCAAATGGAAATAATGATATACAATTTACCTTGAACAAAATTATTAACCTAAATTACGGGAGAAATTATGAACGCATGCATCTTTTAGTAACAATTTTCCATAGACACCTGAACAAAATCGGGTAAGAACAGAGATTTTTTTTCTTAAGTTACACACATGGATATATTGCCTCTTGAAAATAAGCTCTTCGTATGTACGTAAACAAGCAATACAACAGAATACTCCAGTTCGATATTTTGGAGAAAGATTATTACGTCACAACTTAATTTTGTTTTATTGAAAAACTGATGTATATGCATTGTATTCAAACGTAACGGGCATAAGATAGTTAAGGTATTTTTGAAGGTTAGTGTTCGAAGTTTTGTTTATAACACCCTTCCAATAATAATGCACCTTCTAAGACTGGTTATAGTTTTTGAAGAAAAAATAAGTGCTCTGGTCAGGGCCTTATAGGGGAATATTGTGCTTATATTTTAGAGCGTATCTGGTATGATAAGTATATCTGGGTGAAGAAGGAGATAATGGAAGTTTGTTGTTTGGTAGTTGGAAGGTAAGTTTTAAATTATGTTTTTAAGAAACAGACCAGGGGCGGCCCTCCCGGGGGCAGAGGGGGCACAGTCAGGCGCGTACACAGGGGGGGGGGGGGGAGGGGGGAGGTTGGGGGGTTAAACCCCCTTTGGTATTTTTCTGTATGTAAACCCCTCCTAATTTCCCTAAATCCCCCCCTTTGGATTTTTTTCTTTCTTTTTTAATTAAAAAAAATAAAAAAATAACATAAAAATATTCCCATGGCTGACCTAAAAAAGCTGACCTTACCCCCCCCCCCCCCCCCAACGAAGCAAAATGTCAAATTTTCAAATTTCGAGACCCTAACAACAACAAAAAGTGTACTCTTACCCCCCCCCCCCCCCCCCCCCCCCCGCTTATTCAGCGGCTGGCTGATGGCTGAGTCGTTGCGAAATTTTGGGCCCGATTTATAAATATTAACCCCCCCCCCCTTGGAAAATCCTGCGTACGCGCCTGACTGTAGTCATATTGATATCTAGATTGAAACAAACTGTAATTGTACTAACTATGAATAAAAGAGTGGGAGAGATAAAGGCAAAAGTTTTTTTTTTTTGTTTTTTTTTAGAATACATTAATCATTACCGTTGCAAAAACACTGAATAGGTAAAAACAAATATAGGTTCATCGGTTTCATTGAAAGACAAACTTGAGTTCTGATTTAGGTCAACAAACAAAATTATGAATTATGTCTGCATGAGCATCAACAGGGTGTAAATAATTATCAGTAAAATAATTTACCTGGATCAACAGCCAAACAAACTCCTGTGCATATTATCGCGACGATAGCTATCCGTTTGTAAAGTTCCATAATGGCTTGTTTTGGGCACTCAAAATGATAGATAACGATGGACATGCAATGCATAGATCTTTGTTGTACAGCAGAACACATAATGAATTATCTGCGCCTTCTTAATCATATCGGACTGAATTTTGTAATACAGTGCAAATATTTGCTCCTGCTTTTATGTAAAATGATTGTTTCATTTCCCGTCGTTCTTTTGTCTGTTTATGATTCAGGGCTTGCTCAACAGTGCATGGAATCGTAGTAGCCCCGTGAA